CAGTACCAACAGTCACCCTACCAGGCAAATCCAGACCATGAGAACTGCATTAAGAGCCTTTGAACACTTCATATTAGGCTACACTCTCAGCTGCCCCCTTTTGCGTTACATGGGTACAATTACCATACACCCCACATTTCCCAGGACCATCCTAATTTTAAGAAAAGAATGTTTTCTTTTAATGAGACTTGGTAAAAGGAATATCCTCTGTCAGGCCATGTCAGATGACCATCAAATGCAAAAGGTAGAGGCATCTCCTCTGCCCTTTGAAACTAGAATGAAGAGTGATGATTTATTTTTCAGGACCAAGGATTCTGGGAATTAATTATCCCAGATTGGAACCAAGTTGGAGAATAAAGAGAAAAGCCATCTCAGACCCAACGGGAAAGGGAAAAGAGGGGTACTCACCTTACTTTGAATCCAGGAGATTTTTCCACAGTAGTATAGCAGGGATCCTTAAGCTAAGAATATTTTTCTTAGCCTATCCAGAGGTCAGAAGTAAAGCTCTAGCATCAGGGAAACAGAAGGTGCATCTAGGAAATGTGTAGTTTTTGTTCCAGGGCATAAGCCCCTAAACTGGGAGCTCCGGAGATCCTCCATCTCTAACTGTCCCTATAAAATAAACAGACCACACCCTGTCTGTCTGTCGCTGATAAAGCAATAGGGCGAAGTAAAGAAGAAACTCCCTATATAACAGGAGAACCGCAGAGTTAAGTCTAAGGGAAAGAACTTCATCTCTTAATTCAAATACTCCCACATTTTCAAATGTTAATCATATAGTCATTCCCCATTACATCATGCCCCTTCTGCAACATCTACAACAGTGTCTAATTGCTTTTCAAGACAATTTAAAACTAATGATTGGCTTCCACAGCATCCACCAAAGGCCAAGCTTATTAACGAAATGACCTTCATCTCCAGTTACACCTTGGTTCATGCTCTCTGTAAGCAAACCTGCTTACTTGTTTACATACTTGAGAAACACATTCCCACTCTCCCAAACCAGCTAGTACCTGTGATGGTCTCTCCTTTGTGCTCTACCAAATATATCCTTCCCTTTCCTCTTTCCAGATTTATTAAAGTCCTGCTGCTTGCTTCAGCTCCATCTTAGGCTCTCTGGGAGTACAGAAGCATATAAGACATTATTCCTGCCCTTGAAAAATTAGCAGTGGAATCGGAAAGACTAGCCATACAAACAAAGGACAAACCACTCCATCTGCCAACTCTGGGAATTTTCACTAGATGTCCTCTATGTTTAGAATGCTTTCCCTCCTCATCTCTGCCTTCTGGCATTCCTGGCTTCCTTCAAGTCCTAGCTAAAATCCTGCCTTCTACAAGAAGCCTTTCCCAGTCCCTCTTAATGTCAGTGCATTCCCTCAGAGATTATCTTCACTTTACCCTGTCCATATCTTATTCATACATAGCTGTTTGTACGTTGTCTCCCCCATTAGACTAAGAACTCCTTGAGAGCAAGGGCTGTTTTTTGCCTTTGTTTGTATCCCCAGCACTCAGCTCAATGCCTGGCACATAGTAGATACTTAATAAATGCTTATTGACTTGACACAAAATAAATGGACCATTTCAAGCAACATCTGAAGAATGCAAAAACTATCCTGAAGGTACTGCTCAGATCTGCCTTGGATTTCATCAGCATGGGCTTGGTAGACTAGCCATTTGAGGCAGTTTTCATGGAGTATTGTGCATTGATAGGTTCACAGGGTCATAGGATTTAGAACTGAAAGGACACTTAGAAATCATCAAATCCAAACCCCTCAGTTTCCAAATGACAAGTTAAACACTTGCCTAAAGTCACAGAAGTAGAAGGTAAGTAACAGTGACCAAGGTCATCTGACTCCATATCCTATGCTCTATACATTATATTATGCTGCTTCTCCTTCTGGTCTTCAGTCATTCAATCAATTAGCATTTATTAAGCACCTGCTATGTTACAAACACTGGGGATACAAAGAAAGGTAAAAGACAGTCCCTGAGAAAATATAAACTCTTTAAATAAAGCTCAATAGAATATAAACTCTCTGAATGCAGGGCCTATTTTGGTTTTGTCTTTGTGATCCCAGCACTTACCACAATGCCTGTCACTGAGTAGGTCCCTAATCAATACTGGCTAAATTGAACTGAACTGAATTCAGAAACTTAATTTTTATCAGTTTGTGCAGATATGTTTTCCCTACACTATCCTTTTAATTTTCCTGTTTTTCTGTGTGCCAGGCTGAATTTATTTGTTGTTGGGCTATTTTGCTTTGTTTGAATGCCCAGTCAAGTTCCTTGGCATGCATCTCAAGACTTCCTAAAACCAATATTCACTTTCCATCTTTTCTCCAAATTTTCCAAAGTTTGCTTCACTTTTCAGTTCTAAAGTGGAATTTTCTTTCCTACCAAACTACCACATGGAATTGTACTGACAGTGCAGTTCCAGAATATTGACTCAGAAATCCTTCTGGCTAAGTACTGAAGTTCCTATCCTCTACCAAGGCCAAGTCCAGGCTATTTTCCGTGTGGCTTCCCAAACTCCCCATTCTAGAAAGTAGACATTTTCCAAACCAAAAACTTTACCTTATCTTTGTATTTCATGTTAGCTCAATGCCTTGTACATGGTACCATATACCCTTTATAAATCTTTGAGCCTAATGAGACACTTTACTAGTCTGTATTTGGATTGGGTCTCTGCCTAGCTGAATTCCCCAGTCTTATTCAAAATCAAGACAGAGTTATTCCAATAGCTTTGCAGACGTGACTAATAGGACTCATACTATCATAACATCTTGAAACTACCATATTCTGAGAAATGGAAATAAGTTAAGGGCTTACTATGGGCCTGACACTAGGGATACAAAGAAAAGTAAAAAATAGTGTCTGCCCTAGAAGAGCTTCCAGTGTAATGTAGGAAACAACATGCAAATAACCATGTACAACCCAGATGTATAGACATTCGATAATCTCAGAAGGAAGGCACTAGGATGCAAATCAGGGAAGGCTTTCTTGTAGAAGATGGGATTTTAGCTGGGACTTGAAGGAAGCCAGGGAAGGTAGAAGATAGACCTAAGTAGGAAAGAATGCTAAGCATGGTGGACAAGCCAATGGAGACAATAAGGGAAACTGATACTAAGTATTATTCAATTTCTATCTCTCAATTCTATGAAGCTTTCTACTTCAGCTGATCTTTCCCTTCCTCTGCTGAATAATACCCAAGAAATTTTGGTTCAAGATATAGAAGTATCACTCCATTTTAAAAATTGATGCTATGTTAGTGGAATGTGAGCTCTAGTGGTCTCTACTAACCTGAAAAGGCTTCAAGTCCAGCTCAACTCCGCTTGTCTTACAAAGAATAGGCAATCTAACTTGAGCTAGGCTCATTTCCCAAGTCTTGCCCAATCAGAGGATTGCTCCTTTATTATTGTTATTACCTTTTCATCATGGCATCCAATAAAACTATTTGCTGAGGTGTATAGTATATGCTGAGGTGTATAGTATGTGCTGAGGTATAATAGTTGTGGTCTGCATTGTTGGAATGAAGTGCCCACATCCATAAAAATCACATCTTTTTTATTATTATCATTGGTATTAACTAATGGTTTGTGCACATCAGTTTTTTTTTTTTTCATTTGCTCCCCTGTTGGCCCTCTTTTGAAAATGAGAGTGATCTTGATACCTTTGGTAAGTGTGTGGGGAGATAGAAGAAAGAAGACAGGGAAAAATTTTTTTTGAGCCTGTCCAAGTTGGGGGGAAGGCTCATTATCAAAAGCTACCAAGGCCATAGATTGATTTTCAGTGAAGGTCCAGTAAAGTAGAAGGTCTATGTTGGGGAGCAGCAGGACATAAGAGTGGGCTGGGCCAAATTTGGATTTGTGGGGACAGTAGGGAGTAATTTATTTAATAGAGGAGGCACCCTTTCATGGAAGCTGAGCCTGACAGAGTGCAAAAGTTACATCAGTGTTACAAAAGTTAACATCAGAAGTATCACAAGAGAGATACAATTCCTTTCTTGGAGGAGGGAGGAGGGGGAAGTAGGGAAGAACCAGAAAAAAAAGCAGTTTTGGATTGGGGTGAGATATGTGGAATATTAGCAAGAAGGAAATTGCAGTTTTGAGGATCTGGGATAAGGTTGTTTGGTGAGCAGGACAGGGAGAAACCTGAAAATTACAGGAGGGTTGACAGAAGGAACAGCAGACAGTTGGCATTTAGCCTGGAGAAATTAAGATATGTTAGCTTTCTTGGTGAGGCTGAAGGGCATAGATGGGGAAGAGAGACGACCTGTTCTGCTGGCCCATTAGGCCAGCAAGGTCCTCAAGGAGCAGGACCTTTTATTCCCAGACTATGGCACATGGGAGATGTTCTCACTGAATTGCTTGGGCTCAGAAAGCAGAAAAGGAAGTAATGGTTAAAAGTTTCAGAAAGGTAGACTTGGGCTCCATTTAAGGTAAAATTTCATAACGATGAAGTGTTTTCCAAAAGTGGAATGACGGGGCTTCATAGATAGGATCGTAGATTTAGAACTGGATGGGACCATTCAACCCCCACCCCCATTTCACAGATAAGGAAACTGAGGCTAAGGGTAAGTGACATGGTCAGGGTTGCAATGCTAGTGTTTGTGTCAGTATTCAAACTCAGCTCTTCCTGACTCCCAGTCTGCCTCTAAAGATAGTGAGTTTCCAGTCACTAAGGGTCTTCAAACAAAGGCTTGTCGGGCACATGGAGAGGATTCCTGTGCAGGTACGGCTTGGGCATGATGAACTGAGGGGCTTCAGGCTCTAAGAGTCAGTGACTACTGCCTTGAACCCTCCCCCCCCCCCCCCCCCCGCCTTCTCCAGGTGGCCTCAGGTAGTGCTCCCTCTCCCCGTGTTTCCTCAAAGCCTTCCACAAGACCCTTTCAAACATTTGGCAGCCCCACGGTCCTCCCCCCAATAGCTCAGTGCGCATGCTTCTCCCCCTCCGAGGGAGCGCGCGCGCGCGCGCTCGCCCTCTCCCAATCCCTCCTCCCGGCCAGCTCCGGGACTGCGCGTGCCAGTTTCTTCCCCTCCCCCACGCCCCTTGTTCGCTTCTTTCTTCTCCAGGCAAGGGGAAGGAATCGAATTCCGAGTTCGCGATCGGATCGAGTGCCCCGCCCCTCTCCTCGACATTTTGCCCAGGGAGGGAGGTAGGAGTTGCCCCAGGGACGGCCCGGGCAGGGGAGGGCGGGGAGTGCTTGTGACCCAGGCTTGTAGTGGAGGGGGAGACTCCTGCGGCGAGGGCGGGAGCGGGGCGGGGGGGGGGGGGGGGGGGGGGGGGGGGTGGCCCCCGGCGGGGGGGGGGGGCGGGGGGGGGGGCCGGGGGGAGGGGGGGGGGGGATACCGAGGTGGGAGGGAGCGATGGGAAGAACAGCGGCGGGAGAGAGGAAGGCATGGGGAGAACAGCCGATGGGGGAAAGAGGAATGGACAGAACAGCCGCGGGGGGAGGGAGGATTGGTAGAAAGAACAGCCATGGGGGGAGGGGCAGAGAGAACAGCCCAGGGAGGAGGGAGGGGCTGGGAATAGGGCCGCGGGAGGTGAGGGTAGAATTGGGAGAACAGCCACCCTCGGGGGGAGGGATTGAATGGAGAGAACAGCTGGAAGGGAGGGGAGGGGCACGCGTGGGGAAAGGGGGGCTGTGGGATAACCTTTGGGGGAGCAGAAGAGGACGGCCGGGGAGGGGGTGGTTGAAAACCCCAGCGGGGCGCCGGGGATGGGGGTGTCCTGGAGAATCGTTCCTGCGCTGGCGAAGGCGCAGGTGGTGGCTGGAGTGGCCTGAGCCTGCCTCGAACAGGTAGAAGATGCTGAATTTGAATCCAGAGGCTCAGGTCGCAAGGACCAGACCTACCCAGTCTCTTAGAAACCCTGTGCGGGTCCCCCCTGAGGCAGTTTCCCCATCTGCAGAATGAGGGGCTTTGGACCAGCCGGTGTCCCCAGCTTCCTTTCTAGTTCTCAGTCTCTGATCTTTGGAGAGTTTGCCAGTGTTTGGGGGAGGGGGGTGGGAGTTCTCCCGCAGAGGGTCGTGTTCAAGGTGCTTGTCTTTCCTTTCCCCCAAAAAAATTATTTTTGAAAAGCTCTGCAGAGGACATCTCTGTTCCCATTTCGGTCAGAGCTGTGCTTAAATTGCAGAGAAGGTAAGGCATGGAGCCTTCTGGTCGGAAAGAAAAACCCAAGGTGAAGGAGCCTGTGAACCGAGTAGAGAAAGCCAGGCAGAGATCAGCTCAGCAGGAACTGAAGCAAAGACAAAGGGCAGAGGTGAGCCCCAGCTGTTCTTGGGTTGTTGTTCAGTCCTTTCAGTCACCCCAAGTGGGGTCTTCTTGTCCAAGGGCCTGGAGTGGCTTGCCATTTCTTTCTCCACCTTGTTTTACACCTGAGGAAACTGAGGCAAACAGAGTTAAGTGACTTGCCCAGGGTCACACGACTAGGCAGTATCTGAGGCCATATTTGAACTCGGGAAGAGGAGTCTTCCTGACTCCAGGCCCAGTACTCACCCAGCAGCCTGTTCCTGGGTGCCTGAAAGGAAACTGATTCCTCATTGGTCTCCCTGCCCCATGCTTCTGTCTTCAGCATACATACCTTCCATACAATTGCCAGGACTTTTCCTGAAAAGCAGGTCTTGCCGTTTCACTCAATAAACTCCAGGAGCTCCTTGTTTGTTATCTCTAGGCTCAAATATAAGCCCTCCCTTTCTAGCCCTTTTACACACAATTCCCATTCATGAATCCTAGGGTCCTGCCAAACCCCTCCTATACCTCTCATTTCTGTGCATTTTCACTGACTGTCCTCCATACCTGAAATGCTCTCTGTCCTTGTTCTACTTCTTAAAATCCTTGGTTGCTTTCTCAGTTTCTCTTTTCTTCCATCCCTTCCTTTTCATTCTGCCTACCATCACTCTAGTCCTATCCAGAGGCATTGTGGCCCTATGGGAGCAACTTAGGAAGGTGAGTGTCCCAACCCCAGCTCTGTTCAGGGCCTGGCTCTGGAGGCCTCCTCCGGGGGAGCCCACTGCCCTGGAGGATAATCAGTACCTGCCCTCAGCTGAGTTACTGTATGGACACCGTAGCTCTCCACTACCAACAAGCCTTCTGCCCTTCATTATTCTTCATCCTGGAGGAAGGAAGAAAGGGCTTCTGTCCCTGCCCCATGCAGACACTGGGTCAGAGGCCTCCTTGCCCCAGGATCGTCTGCCCTGTGTCCTTACTGTGGCCCTCCATCTTCACCCAAGAGCCCAGGCATGAAGGTCTGCCATTAGCAGGAACTTGGGCTTCTGCCTTCATACCTCCTCCTCCCTTCCACATTTCTGATCCTGGGAGGTTGGCATTCACAGTTGGCACTGCCCTTCTCAAGGTTGGGACTTGGTAATGAAGGCTGGCACTCCAGGGCCTTCTGCCACCACACCAACACTACAGCCCACCCTTGACACCAAGCACCCACACGCTGGAATAGAAAGGTTCCTCTGTTCTGGAATGGCCATGAGTTACCTGGATTACCTACAGCAGAGGCCAACATAGGGCCTTATTCATAGTAAGGAATTCACAGAGGCTTGTTAATATAGTTAATATTGAATTAATACGTAGAGCCCTCATGCCCCTTTATCACAGTCTGCTTTATATCATTGATATTTGTGAACTTGCCACCTCCCTACTGCAATGACCAGTGGGTCATGGCATGGATCAGACTGCTGAGGTCTTTTAAAGTTGTTTTCCTTCAGAATCTCTTTATATGTTGGTGTTGTTCTACAGACTTCACTAAGCATCAGTTCATACAAATCTAACTAGATTTCTTTGAAATATCAGCCCTTTTGTCATTTTGGGCAGCAAAATTATATTCCATTATATTTGTAAACTGATTTCTTCACTCGTTCCCAAATTCATGGCTTTTTAAAGTTAATGAGTTCTGTTTGGCACAAACACTTTGCTCTTTGGGAGTCATCTCTGGCCAGTGACTACGTGACCTACTGTTTCGGTTTCACGACGTGGTGTTGTGGAACCGTCTCAAAGAATTCAGTCAGACCACTTCTAATCCAAGGATAAGCTTACCCCATCAGTGGGTAGATAGGCAGTCAGGAGGATACCAAATCTAGATCATAGGAGAAAGGCAAATATGGTTGATGGTAACAGATTTTTGCTGTTATTGTACCTCAAACCATTTTAAAAACTCACTTCTCAAAAACAAATGTAAAGAATAGAACTGTAAACCCCTAACAGTTTGTTTCAAAGGAAAAGAGCTACTCCAATAATATCACACGAATAGCATTTGATTTGTTCAGTTTCCCTGTTTTTGTCTATCCTCATCAGATTTTCTTGCCATTGTTTTTATATAGTTGTAGTCACTGAAGGCCAGTTCTGCTCTCTTTTCTCTGTCTCATATCACATCTCTCTATTTGTAACTTCTATGGTTCAGTGAGCATGTTATATTAGCCCTTCCCCAGTAGTCATCTATTTCTAGGTTTCACTATTGTTATTATAAACAATGCTGCTTTGAATATTTGCATCTATGTCTTTTCCCCTTTCAATGACATCCTTAGGCTTTAGAAATCTTTTTGTATGTTGCCAGATTGTTCTCCTTCAAAATAGACCAGTGCTGCCTTTTGCCCTTGTCCTCCCTTCCTCCCTCTGTAATCAGTTTTGTGATTTTTAATGACTGTTGCCAGTTCGGCACTTTCTGCCTGTTCCTGATGTCTCCTTGCCTTTGATCCCTTCCTATAGAATCTCTGGGCTGTACTGAAAACAACATACTGAACGTCTTCGTTCCAAGCCTCATTTTCTTCTCTTGTAAATCTGGAATAATGGTATCAGTAGTCCCTGCCTCGCAAATGTCCATGATGACTGTTCTCACCAAAAAAACGGTTTCATCTTTTTTCCCTTCGCGTCAGCTGGGAAGCCCGGTCTTCCAGCCGCATTTGTAAACAGGCCCTTTCACAAAGCCCTTCCTGATAATCGAGCTGAGTACCTTACTTTATCTCTGCCATCTTTCTTTCTCCTTCAGATTTATGCTCTCAACAGAGTCATGACCGAGCTGGAGCAGCAGCAGTTTGACGAGTTCTGTAAGCAGATGCAGCCTCCAAGAGAATGAACTCTCCCCAGCATTGAGACCAGGTGGGGCCCCTGAGGCTTCGGTCATGACCTCTGTAACCAGTTCTTCTGAGGTGGTTCGCTTTGGGCCATACAGATGTAGAGACAAAGATCTATGTACTTCCTAAAGCTGGATAAATCTGAATCTACTGCTCTTTGTGCCTGCCTCTTCACCCATCCCTCTCTTCCTCAGGTCAGCATCATCTTTCTGAAGACCTTTTTTTCCCCTGGATTTTTTTTTCAGTTTCAGTTGTTTGCGGGGTGGGGGAGCTGGGAATCAGTGTTTCTAGTGGTATTTTCTCATTTCTCCAAGAAAACAAATAAACTACAAATTCAAGGCCTGCTTGTCCAAGCCTTAGCTTGGATGTCCGAGTCCTAGAGGCTGGAGTTTTGGTGGGTAAAAAAAGTGGAGATGAGCAAAGAAAACCCAGCGTGCTCAGTATCCCACAAAGAAAGGACGCTTGACATATTGATGGGATGTTCCTGCTGCTTCCAGCCCCATCCATCCGTTGCTACTGTTGCTCTTCATCTGCAGCTGCTTCCAGCTGTCAGGTTTTTGGGGGTGATGAGAGGGAGAATGGTGCGGAATGGTTGCAGACAAGTGGGTCGTTGGCCCATATTTGTGGAAATCCCATAATCCTGACTGGAAACCTCAAAGCCAGGTTTCTTCTGTTGCCCTCCCAAATGGACACTGAACAGATTGACCACAAGAGGCGGGTGGGTTTTTGGTGCTTATTCTCTTTCCTCTGGGAGCAATGGGAGCAGTCCTAGAAATTAAGCAATGAGAAATTAAGCAGTGAGAAATGAGCAGAGACAACCAGCTACCTATCTGAATTTTTGAGGATAGTCCCTTGAATTTCTCCTACTCTCACTTGTTTTTAACAGGTGTCATAGATGTGGTCATTTCTGCCTAAAACCTTGTAGGTGAGGCTATATCACCTCAGATTCATCTATTTTCTGATATTGGGGAGGAGGACGCTATCCTTTTTCAGGGACAACGGACTGGTCTGCTATAGAAATGGTTTAGGAAATGATTTGTGAGATTGTAGATAGGAAAAAGGTCACTCTGAGAGAAATAAGATGGGAATGTGTGGGAATGTCCTGTGTCCTCCAAGGAGTCCAGACTAACAAGGTTCAGCTATGAATTCACCTTCCCAGTGAGGTCACCAGAGCATGTTCTGGGCTGCCCAGGAACTGCTCCTTCCCATATTTCCTCTATGCCCCTGCTGGAGCTTCTAGAGTCCTAGCATTGCAACCTTGAGAAAGGGTGGCAGGGGATGATGGGAGAGTCTCAGCCCTAGTCCCCCTCTGCCAAGGTTGTGCCTGAGGGAGATGTGGTCCAGCATTGCAAGTTGGAACTTGGAATAAATTTTCACATAACAATAATGTTACAAAGGATAGTCAGTTTCTTTTATACTTTATAATTCAGCTAATTATAGATTGAACAGGCCTTTATAGGATCTCTTAGGAATACAATATTATTTTTGTAGGGAATGTGCCAAGTTCCAAATAGCCAACTTGTAGACCCATGGAGCAAAACCCATTGGTAAATTGGGGACTGTCTTTGTTACGTTCTCTTTCATGGCCTGGCTTGTACCTGTGATAAGCTGGGAACTGATGCATTCTTTTGGTGTTAGAAGGTGCTGCTCCAAAGCAGAGACAGGCCTCTGCCCGGGGTGGGGGGGGGTTGGCAGACTCCTCTTCTCATCCAGGGACTCCCTTCTCCATACTCCTTTCCTCCTGGCTGGGGTGCTCGAGCGGTCAGCCATGTGGCGGAACTATTCACACACCCCTGCTTGGGAACCTCCTAAGTCCAGGGTGTTGTGTTTTCAGTTTTTTGTGGGCCCCAAGGAGGTCAGAACTGCTGTTGCTCTGTATTAAAAAGTCCAACTAACGCAGATCCATTTGAAATACAAGCATTGGCTCTGCCAGCTGAGTAGCTAGCAAGGTTACCAGCAGAGGAAGTTTGCTTGTCTTGGGGTGGATAGGATTGGGGGTGGGAGTGGAGATGGGCTAATAAGAGGAGGATTCAGCTGGAAGAGAGAAGGCCTTTCATCAGTTCCTAGTTCAGAAAGCCACTGATACATCTATGACCGGTCAGTCCCCAAACGATTATAGCCAAATTCCTTCATCTATGGAATTGGTATAGCAATCCCAGCCCTCTCACTTTCTTTTGAGAGGGAGCCCAAAGGAATCAGTTAGATTTTAGAAAACACCGGCCCTAAGAAACAATAGACTCAGTCAGCTATAATAGGAGTTGGGGACAGGGGTTCATGAAGGCCACATTATTTTTTAAACTTGGAAGGCAGGTGCTCATTTCTAAATTTAGAGACTCAGCTGCACTTTCATTAAAGAAAGTCCTTCAGTCAGAATTGGACAATACAAGTGGGAAATAGTGATTTTTTTTTGCCCAATTCTAAATTTTTATTAATTTATTTTGATTTATCAACAATCACTTCAATAAGCTTTTGATTCTTAAATTTTTCTCCCCCTCCCTCTCCATCTCCCTTCTTAAGACAGTGCACAATCTGATATAGGCTATACATATACATTCCTATTAAACATATTTTCACTTTAGTGATGTAAGAATTAGAACCTATAGGAGGAACCACCAGAAAGAGGAAACAAAACATAACAGAAGAAAAAAAAATAGCAAATAGTATGCTTCGATCTGCATTCAAATTCCATAGTTCTTTCTTTGGATGTGGATAGCATTTTCCATCACGAGGCCTTTGGAGATGTCTCAGATCCTTGCATTACTGAGGAAATAGTGTTGTTGTTTTTTTTTAACAGACTGTAACTTAAACATCCAAATGGGTGTTGTCACCTTCACGATGGTTTGCTTGGGAAGCTGTATTTTGTGCAGCCATGGCTCATAACCCTGGTAGCGCTTCTCTTAGAATTGTCTTCACAATCCGAGCCATGTTTTTCTGGAAATCCTCAGTGGTAGCAAGCATTTGTCTTTTGAGGGTAGATTTACTTGATGATGTTGGCAACTTGGTCAGAAGTTTTTTGGGGCCCTCTGTAGGAAATGAGAATAAGCAGGCTGAAGAATCCCAGAATTGGCTGAAAAGCAAGGTGTTCTCTATAAAGGGATGGGACTACCTTAGGTGGTTCATAAGGCAAGTCCCAAAGAAGAGCTGAGCTTCAGTTGGTCCCCTTTTCTAGGGCTCTAAAGGGAAAAAAAGATAATTACGAGGTGGAGGCAACCTGAGAGTTTTGAGGCCTTCAAGGTAAAGATTTCCTCTGGCAAAGGACAGGGCTGGAATTCCAGTTAAGGTTAGGTTCCTGCTTCCTTATTGGAATGAAGCCTATAGAGCTTTCAAATTTGGTAGCTCCTGAGAATTTGGCAAATGACAGGTCTTACTGTGGTAGGGATGGTGAAGAGGTGGGCAAAAACCACTTTCCATAACTGGGACTCTACGATTTTATCATGGGGGTAGAAGGCCCCATGAAAATCAGCATTAGGATAATGAGGCTGTGAGAAGGAGCATCTGGTTGGGTGGAAAGTAGAGGCCAGGCTTTGAGGTAGTTACCAGCCCTGGAGATCTGATTCCTGCAGTTGCTGGGGGCTTAGACTACATGGATTTCTCTGGTCCCAGCTCTGAGAGCCAAAAATGTTTTCAGCAATGCTTGTACCTTTGCAGTCTTTGTAGAGCCCCCAAAGAAGGCTATTTTGGGGAATCCTTATTTGGATGGATGAGTTCTGTCAAACCTGTCTCATTCATAATCACATTTCACATTTACATAACTGTAACTAAGACATTTCTAGGATGCCAAAACATAGTGTGTTGATGTCAAATCCCACAGTAACATTGAGAGTCAGGTATTTGGGAACATTTCCCCGATTTCTAGAGCTTGGGATGAAAACCACACATGTATGTGGTCCCAGAATACATAGATAATGGACTCTTGCTACATTTTGTCCGTTCGTGTTATAACTTTCAAAGAAGCCAAAGAGGTATAATCTTGAAACTGTGTTTTTTAAAAGGGGGAAAATTTTGAGTAGCAATATTCCAAACTGGTTTCATGTCCTTGAGATTTAGCATTTTTTAATGCTATGAACACAGTCTTCCTAGCACTAACATTAGTGGCAGGCTCATGAGTCACTCAACCACTTCTGGACCGACCATGTTCTTTCTGCCTCTCCTGTCTACATAGCAACAAGAAACAAACACCAAGTAAGACCAAAAGCCCAGCTGGAATGATTGTGTGGTGGAGGAGGGAGCAGGGCTTTAAAACAACTGGCTTTTCACACCTTTCCAAGTGGTTGAGGTTGCCAATGTTCTTTTCCCAACCTAACCCTCCCATGTAAATAAAGGAAATTCTTCTTAAAGGACAGACTATTATTGTTCCCTTAAAGTTTTCTAATGTGGTAGAGGATGGGATGGAGAATCTTGAAGGAAAGCAAAAATCTTGAAGTTCATTTCTCCGATTTGTGAGCCCATACACAGCTCACTTAAGTCATGGTGAAAAAGAAAGGTTTATTAAGGATTAGGTGCAGCATGATGGAACACACTGGCTTGTTCCCTGAGAGCAAAGGGAATGTTTGGTGAATGAGTTGTTCCCGGTGCTGGGGGCCAAGCTAAGCTATGCCCCATGTGGTGGCTGGGAAGAAGATGTAGGAGGTGACCCAAAACCAAGTGGTGGAAAGGAGTCATAGAGAATGAACACCAGAACACCAGGATAGCACCTGAAAGAGAAAACCCATGCCTAGAGGGAATAATACCTGTGTGGCAACCATTCCTAGAGCCCACTCACCCCCCCCCCCAGCTTTTTCATTTTAATTTCCTAAAATGTTCAAGATTATTAGGGATTGAATTATGATTATAGCTGCACTCTCTTTCCATGAAATCCCAGCAAACCTGGAGGGAAAGAGAGGAGGCAGGAGTGGCTATGACAGCCAGCACTGAGATCCACGAGTAGACGATGATCTCCTCTGGCTGGTGACCAAGTCTGCTCCACTACTTAGGAGCCTAAAGAAGATTGAGTAAGGTCAGTCTTATGATGGTAAGCTTAGACCTTTATCACACTTCTGACTAGAGGAAGTTTGACATGCTCACTGTCTAGTCCATAATGCATGGGAAAGGCAAATGGGGCTATTGGCAGCACAGTCAGGAGGGTGATCCCGATGGGGGTAACAGGGTTTTGGGGTAAGGAAGGTGCCTTCTCACCCCTGGGCACACAGAAGGAGCCAGCAGTAAGATGATGGTGTGATTGCTGATGCCAGCATATGAGAGGTGAAATAGGACAGAGTGGCGGGGAAGGACAGGATTAGACCCACAGAAGAACCATCCCAGTACAGTGATAATACCGAGAAGGTAGATTGGCCTGGTTCTACTGCCTAATTCAGTGAGATATGAGTACTAATCACTCCGGGCCCAGAATGGATTATTCAAAGCCTCACAGAACAACTGTTTTCATTTTTATTAAACCCCAGATTTCTACTCACCTAGGATAAAATTCACCTTCTTCAAAAACTGGGACTCAAGATTTTGTTCTGGGGGTAGAAGCATTGGTCCAGCCTGAAGCCTATCATCAGGATGGCCAGGCTGCAAAGAAGGAGCTTGTTGCCTTTGGATAAGGGGAAGGTGCAGGCCAGCAAGAAGAAAGCATGGGGGCAGAGTCATCCCTGGCACATGAAGGGGATCCCTGTGAAGGATGTGATGCTCTTAGTACTTAGAATTCCTTTAAATGAGGGGACCTACCCAAAAGCATGCTTTTCTCTCCCCTGAAACCAGGGCCCCCCCCCAGGACATCAGCCTTTTGAGGGCAAAGTCTCAGGAGCTGTAAAACTTGCATATCAGACAGGGGGGAAGTTGCCTATACTATCAAAAGGGCACGTGCTTTGAGTGGTGTTTGTAGCAATGGGGATGGCCTTGCTCTAACCCATCCTTTTCCTGGCTGGCCAGGATTAGGGGGCCTGCCAGAAAAGCAGAACTGACAGTGGCCCTGGCCTGGGAATTAACAGCTCCATGCCATCATAAACCAAGCCAGTTGGCTGGATGCTGAAGTTGGGCAGCACTACAGTCCCTGGGGAAACTCAGAGATGGGGTTATACGCAAGAGTGAACATGTACAGCTAGCTTCTTTCCTTGGACAGTCACCATGAGAGCCCTTTGCCTTCTCCACAGAGCTCCACAGCAGACGAATGAGACACCTGACTACAGACATGTCCCCCAATGAAGGCCCAGGTAGAAATCCTTAGGTAGCCACGCATCCCTGTAAAGCCTAAAGGGTGCTGGGAAACCCTGCCTGCCTCCAAAGCTCCTGTCTGCTTTTTGTGGACACCTGAAGTTCTGACATAACTCGAGGTGTTTTATTTAAGTGTCCTGTGTCCCTATGTAAGTGTCCCAGGAAGCATAACACATTAGTGTTAGCTGCTATTAGCATCAGTAACATGAATTGGTTTGTCCAGAGTCTGTGGAATCCTCCATCTAGACCCAGGGTTCTTCCCTTCTTCTGTGTCATGCCCCCCCCAGGCCACCATCTGGTGAAGTCAAGGACCCCTTTTCAAAATAAGGTAAAGTACATAGGATTATAAAGGAAACCAATTATATTAAAATACAGTAATCAAAATATTTTTTAAAACAAGTTCACAGGGGCAGCTAGGTAGCAGATAGAGCTCTGACCTTAGAGTTAGGAGGACCTGAGTTCAAATCCAACCTCAGGCACTTGACACTTAATAGCTGTGTGACCTGGGCAAGTCATTTAACCTCAGTTGCCTCACCAAAAAAAAAAAAAGTTCACAGACCCCAGCTTAAGAATCCCTGATCTAGGGACACCTTCAGTCTCTAGGAAGTCACATCGCAATGAGTTATAGCTCCCTCCAGCCTGGGAAGTGTTTATAATGTCTATATATAAGTATAGCTAGGTAGTGTGGTGGATAGAGTGCCAGGCCTAGAGTCAGGAAGACTCATCTTCCTGGTTCAAATCTGAATTTAGACACTTACTAGCTGTATGACCTTGGGCAAGTCCCTTAACCTCAGTTTGCCTCAGTTTCCTTATCTGTAAAATAAACTGGAAAAAGAAATGGCAAACCACTCCAGTATCTTTGCCAAGAAAACAATGGGTTCACAAAGAGTCAGACGCAATTGGAACAAATGAACAACAACGTAAGTATCTGAAGCCTACACCTAAAGCAACATTATGCCATCAGCCTTGACCTCTGAGCAATATCAAACCCCATATTCTGCCTGCATCTTAGTTTCAAACATGTGAACCTAACTCTCTTTGTCAAGCAGTTACAGTTCCAAATCCCACTCCTGTCCCTTTTCTCCTGCCAACCAGCACACAGATGGGGTGGGGGTTAGTTCTTGCTAGGTGCAGGTCTTTATAGCATTTCACCAGTCAGGAATAGGCCATAGCAAGTGTGAGAAGATTCAGAGAACTAAGTCCATTCAGGCCCTGGCTCTGAAGTGGTTGCTGGGCAAAACCAGGCCAGTCCTACAGCTCCTAGAGAGACTCTGAGATCAAGAAGGGGCCTCAGGGATCATCCTAGCTGGCTGGCTGTGAAGGACCCATAAGTATCCAACAGCTCCAAGAGTCTTAGTTTGTGAATGTGAATCTGGAAGTTTTTATTTTCACGAGTGCAATTTTTCTAAGAAAAGAGACAGTGCTCTCTGGTGGTAGAAGTGTGGGTTCTGTTCTCAAGATCAGAGGGCCTTCTAGGGAATGGGGAGCCCTTTGGGAGACCTTAAGAGCTAGAAGGGGCCATATAAATAATTTAGCTCAATTCTCCCCTTTCCTCCACCATTTTACAGATGGAAAAAGTGAGGCCCAGAGAGGGAAAGAGCCAGAATTTGAAGCCAGTTGCCTGACTTTCAACCCATTCTGAACCATAATGAAAGTGTGAAGTCAGTGGACACTCCCATTCATCTCTTCCTTGCACCCTTCTCCATGTAGGTAAAACACTCATTTTGGCCTTAGGCACATATATATGTCTGAACACCCCTTGCAAACCAGTTTGCTCTACCCTGATGACTGTGCCCAGGCTTCAGTAGTTTCCAGGGTAGAAATAATATGACAAAGCAATTCATGTGATGGTGATGTCTTACTATCAGATAAATATTCTAAAGAACAGGGGTCTAGCTATCCATGAGGGGATTGGGTCAATGCTTTGCCATCTTTCCTTGTTCATACTAATCCTTGCTATATTCTATCCTTTCATTTCTATTCCCTAATCTAGAGTGGGTCTGCCTGGCTCCGTTCCAGGAAGATAGGGACCCAGGGATAATACAGCCATCCCCCAGGAGATTGACATGAGAATGAGTACTTGACATGTCTTATGAAAGGGGAGTCAGAAGACTAAGTTGGCCCTCCCCAATCTTCCAACCACATACATATGACTATTTCCCCTACTGCTTGTCACAACATCTTAAATTCTACCATTAGAGATGGTTTGATTTGTTTTGTTTTGTTTTGTTTTAGTCCTCAGTATTCACTTCTTGAAAGGCAAACAACTCTTGGAGAGGCAGCACATTAATTGCCACTAATCCATACATAATGGTCAAAGTGACTAGGCCCTGTATGACTTGTCTGGACACAGGATGGGTGCTGGGAATGGGGAGAAGGGAGAGGGGTCCTTAGAGAAGAGGTGTCAAAGACAAACTCCTGGAGACTTCAGTTTTACTTGGGAAGGCTCCCTTGGGCAAGTTCTACTGAGTCATTTCCACCTCTGGGCAGACCCCATGCTTTCCCATCTCCAGAGACCTGTAAGGCCTTCTGACTCTTGGGGCTTCTAGTTCAATATGACCTGAAGAAGAATCCCTTTTGCAGCCTCTTTAATAAGTCACATAGCCATCCCAGCTCTGGCCAAAGATCTCCCAGTGTCAGGGCATATTAAGCCTCAAGAAGCAGCCCACACCAACTTTATCTTCTCATTTTTGGAGAGGTGGGAGGTGGGATCGTGAACATGGGATGCTGAAACAGTGCTGGGCTTGGAGTTAGAGATTTTAGGAATTTGGGGTTAAGTCCCAGCTCCTACATTTACAGCTGTGGGACCCTGGACAAGTCATTTCAGATCCATTTCATCATTTGTAGAACGAAGATAATACCCTACCCCTCAAGACTGGAGAGCACTCAAAGTTGTGTGTATGTTTGTGTGTGTGTGTGTGTGTGTGTGTGTGTGTGTGTGTGTACACATGTGATCTGTTATGAACTCTGGATTTGGATTTGAGAGGACCTGGGCTCCTATCCTAGTGCCATGTCTTACTAGATCTGTGACTTTGGCCAAATTACTTCCCTCCTCCAGAACTGTTTCCTCATCTATAAAATCTGATGATCCCTGGGATCCCATCCAACTCAAATCTATGATCCTTAAATCTTCCCCTCTAACTTACCACAACTATTTTCAGTTCTGCTCTTTGGGGCCAAGTAAAAGAAAAGTCAGGGCAGCTAGGTGAAGCTGCAGAGGATAGAGTGCTGGGCCTGGAGTCAGGAGGACCTGAATACAAATCTGACCTCAGACACTTACTAGTTGTGTGACCCTGGGCAAGTCACTTAACCCTGTGTGCCTCAGTTTCCTATCTATAAAGTGAGCTGGAGAAAGAAATGGCAAACCAACCCACCATCTTTGCCAAAAACAAAAACAGACAAACAAACAAAAAAACAAATGAGATCACAAGGAGTAGGATATGACTGGAACAAAGAAAAGTTTAATCCCTCTTCCCAGTGACAGCACTTGAAATGCTTGAAGACAGCAATCATGTTTCCCTTAAGTCTTCTCTTCTGCAGGCTAAATGTCCTCAGTTCTTTCCATTGAAGATTATAGGGCATGTTTTTGAGGCCCTTCACCCATCCTGCTCACCCTTCTCTGCACCATCTACAGCTTGCCCAAAATTAAACACAACGCTCCAGATGTGATCTAGGTAGGGTGGGGGCCAGGTGGACTGTCACTTCTTCTGGACGCCATGCTTCTCAATGCAGCCTAAACTTGGGTTCACTCTCTAACTTTCCTATCATGCTATTGAGTCACTGAGCTCATCCTTTAAGGATGCCCCAAGTCTTTTTCATGGATCACTGTCTAGCTACATCTCCCCCATCCTGAGTGTGTGCAGTTAATTTTTTGAACTCAATTGCAAGACTTAACATTTTTCCCTACCAAAGCATGCTATTGGATTTGGACCATCTTAACCTCTTGACATCTGTTTGTGGGGGGGGGGGACTTGAAGGACCAAGACTCCTCGATCTCTTGCTTAGTTCTCTGGCTGCCATTGACCAGTTGAATAGAAATGCAAGCAGAGGAAGACAGCCAGCACATAGAAGATGACAAGCACTCCACTGGGGGCCATCCACCATCAGAAGCAGGGCCAAAGGAAGTGAAGTCAGCAAAGTCATTTAGCTTGACACCTGCTCAGCAGGTTGAGGATCGGGCACATTGGGGGAAAGGTAAGGGTATAGCAGCAGATGATGCCAATGACAGGAGTGAGAGACTGGGCAAATGAAGCCTTGACTGACCTCAGGCATTCTCCCAGTCGTCCCTACGGTAGAGGTAGGATCCTCATTTCCCAGGCTTATGGGGCCACTAGCCGTTACACCCCACCGCTCAAGAGACACAGGTGAACTGCTTTTGGCTGCACAGGATTTCTCCAAGCACCAGGCACCATGGCACCAAGATGTAGATTCTCCACAATCCTATGGCCTCCAGTCTTATTCCCTTTTAAGGGACAACTCCCCATTCTCAATTCCGAGACTACTGAAATACACGCTCTCCTTTGGGCTGGAGAGGAGAAAGGTGGGGAGCGCCAAACCTAGAATCCAAACCTCTTGGCTCCCAGTCCAGCGTTTACCTCACCAGCCGCTTGTTCCAGCTTTGTAGAGTTAGCAAAGGCCCAGGTCCTACAGGTGAATGAAGAGCTGGAACCAGGCAGACACTGCCTCCAAGAGGCTGCTCCTTAAAGGCAGTGTCTCCTAGGAGCGAGCCGTGACTTTGAATCTGGGTTCAGAGTGATGTTCCTCTAGGGGAGTCACTCAAACTTTCTGAAATGTTACCTTATTCATAAAAAAGGGATTACAATAGTTGCACTACTTTCCTCATAGGTCTAAAGGGAACAGAAGACATAATGTATATATAAAATATATAAAACAATTTGTAAGTCAAGAAGTACAATTTAAATGTCCCCTATTATTGGTTTTAATAGATATTTGTGTCTGATGGCAGCCACTTCTAGGGCAGGTGGGGGAAGGAAGGGGAGGGGGAAGAAAGTCACATGCTAACTTTATTATATATTTAAAAGGAAAAGAAAGTTGTACATAATAGATTTGCAGTTTCATGTGCAATCTTTTTTATTTTTTTTCTTTTTATTAATTCATTTTGATTTATCAACAATCACTTCCATAAGCTTTTGAGTTTTAAATTTTTCTCACCCTCCCTCCCCAAGACAGCACACAATCTGATATAGACTATACATACACATTCCTATTAAATATATTTTCACATTAGTGATGTTATAAGGAAGAATTAGAGCCAATAGGAGGAACCACTGGATAGGGGAAATAAAACACAACAGAAGAAAAAAATAGCAAATAATATGCTTCCATCTGCATTCAGATTCCATAGTTCTTTCTCTGGATCTGGATAGCTTTTTCCATAGTGAGTCTTTTGGAGTTGTCTTAGATCCTTGCATTGCTGAGAAGAGCTGAGTCTATCAAAGTTATTCTTTGCACAGTATGGCTGTTACTGTGTACAGTGTTCTCCTGGTTCTGCTCACTTCACTCAGCATCAGTCCATACAAGTCTTTCCAGGTTTTTCTGAAGTCTGCCTGCTCATCATTTCTTATAGCACAATAGTATTCCATTACATTCATATACCACAACTTGTTCAGCCATTCCCCAATTGATGGGCATCCCCTCAATTTCCAATTCTTTGCCACCACAAAAAGAACTGCTATAAATATTTTTATACATGTGGGTCCTTTTCCCATTTGTATGATCTCTTTGGGATACAGCCCTAGAAGTGCTATTGCTGGATCAAAGGGCATGCACATTTTTTTGGCCCTTTGGGCATGGAACTGTGTTTTTTAAAAGGGAAAAATTTTGAGTAGCAATATTCCAAACTGGTTTCATGTCCTTGAGATTTAGCATTTTTAAATAATATGAACACAGTCTTCCCAACACTAACATAGTGGCAGGCTCATAAGTTACTCAACCACTTCTGGACTGACCATGTCCTTTCTGCCTCTCCTGTCTACATAGCAGCAAGGAACAAACACCAAGTAAGACCAAAAGCCCAGCGGGAATGATTGTGTGGTGGAGCAGGGAGCAGGGCTTTAAAACAACTGGCTTTTCACACCTTTCCAAGTGGTTGAGGTTGCCAATGTTCTTTTCCCAGCCTAGCCCTCCCATGTAAATAAAGGAAATTCTTCCTTATTATAGAAGGAAATTCTAACTTGATTATATATTTAAAAGGAAAAGAAAGTTGTACATAATAGATCTGCAGTTTCATGTGCAATCCTCTTTTAAAAAATTCTGTTTTGTTACAGAGATGCTTGTTTTGTTAAGTTCAGAATAAAAACAAAGTCCTCCTTTATTGTGCACTTATTATTCTACTGAATTGTAAAGCCTAGGCATGGGATTTTAATTAATTTCCCTATCCCTAATAGTGAGTGCTCCGGCATAAGACCCTGTACAAAGCAGGAATCAGCAATGCTTGTTGAATGAATGAATGAATGTAGAGGGAGTGTAGGATAATAGAGAGGTAATTTTGAAACTAGAAAGTCCTGAGTTTAAGTCCCAATGCTGACCTTATTTGAAGCAGCTGGTGAGTGCAATGGATGATGGCGTGCTAGGCTTAGAGTCAGGAAGGCCTGAGTTCAGACTGCTTCAGTCTCTGCTGTTGTGACCCTGGTGAAATCATTGTAAAATGAGTGGGTTGGACGTTCTGGTCTCAGCGGTCCTTTCTGGGACCTTCTGTGTATAATCTATGATCCTGTGACCTGGGGAATGGGGATATGTCTGCTATGGCTATGGGAAGCGTGGTGGATTAGAAGTGTTAGAGGACAGGGAGATAAGATGGGGACTGTCCTGAGACACGAGGTCTGAAACCCTCACTTCCGCAGAGTACAGCAGATGTTCAGTTGTTTGGCCACAGCCTCATCTGCTAGATCGAACAAAAAGCTGAAGAGCAGGAGCCAAGAGGCACAATGGGATTTTCTGGAAGAAAAAATCAGGAAAAGCCTGGAATTTTAGAGCTAGAAGAGACCATAGAGATAATTTGCTCCAACCTGTTTTACAGTTATCAAAACTGAGGACTGGAGAGGGGAAGTGCTTTACCCAAGGTCACATATGACGTATATGGCGAGATCAGCACAGAATGCAGGTTTCCCAACTCTGAACCATGTGCCTGGCATGTGTTAGACCAGGCGATGTGCCCACCCTTGGCCCCTGACCTCAGCCCATGGCCACCTTAGCCCCTGCACCATGCCAATCTGTTGAAGCTGCAGAAGATGGAAGACAATCCCATGACCATGTTGCCCAGGGATAGGATGTTAGCAGCATTCTTCCCAGCAAACCTGGCCAGCAGGTTTCTGCTCTTCGCCTGGTGCTTGAAGTGCTTAATGTAATCAAAGAAACCTAGGATGAAGGAGGAGTCAACATGAAAAGTGTCACCAAGGCCTTGAACCTCTGGACTTTCAGGCCTTCTCACCAGCCTGGGGACTTGTCTTCCTAGAATGAGGAGTCCTTAGAGCAGTAGGTAGCTTCTCTATGGGATCTTCATCTTAAGCCCTCTCTTGTCTTATCAGATGGGTGGTGGGTGAGAGAACTGGGATGGGGCATAGAATAATGGCAGGTGTGGAGATAGAGAATGGGACCAATGTGGGGATAAATCATGGAAGCAGTTGTGGATGGAGAATGAAGTCAGGTGTGAGAATGGAGGCTAGAGGCTGACACACTGGAGATTAGAGGACAGAATTAGAAGGCAGGGCAGAGGATGAAGTAAGAGGAAGACCATGGTTTGTATTTGGTGCAATGTGTATGGGGCACATTGAGTTCAGAGCCCTGTAGGAATCAGAATCAGGAGTTTTTACTCAAATCCTCACTGAGCCCCTTTGGGGGATCCCCCCCATCCTTTGTACTCCTCCCTCCCATGCATATTCACTCCTCAGTGGGAATGAGAGGGCATCATCATCATAATTTTTTAAATACTTCATCTATAAGGCAAGGTTAAAAAAAGTTTTCCTCATAATAATGCTGTTAAGTAGGCAATGCATCATATCCATTTTACAAATGAATAAAATGAGTCTCAGATAGGTTGATTGAACTGCCAAGGGTCACACAGTAAATGTAAGAGCTTGGATTTAAACCGAGGTCTCTAAATGCCAAGTCTTAACCATTCTTTGTTTGCATGACACCACACTGAGCGTGGGGCAGTTCCAAGCTTTAGCCCTGGCACTAAACATAATATTCTCATTCCACCAGGAAATGGAATGCCCATTATAATGACCACAGAGTTGAGCCAGAACAAGGCTGAAGAGAGATTGTATCCCCAGCCAAGCTGAAGACTCCAGGAAGAGTGGAGAGAAGAAAGAAGAAGATAGAATAATGATGGCAAAGTAGACCCTTCCATTTAAAGAGAGAGGTTAAATGACTTCCTCAAGGTCACATAGAAGGAGGTGGACAGTGGTATTGGGGAAGACCTCTCCCGGCTCTTCTAGCCCTTGTTGCCCTTTCTTTGCCCCAAACTCACCAAGGGGCACTATCAGCATCTTTAGCTACTTAGCATTCTGGGGGTTCCTGAGGTCTTCCCCTACCAGGACCCCCAAACCCAAGAGAGACACAGGATCTTTAACAGCTCCAGAAAGGCTGAAGAGCAGTAGGGTGGTCAGAGCCTGCCTGACTGTGACTTCAAACACCTGCGTGCCCTTCTGGTGAGCAGGACATCCCTACACAGGGGCACCAAGGAGTTCTTACCCACGTTGGGGTGCGTGGGCCAGAGATAGATGTCTTATACTCTCCAGTTACTTAGGAGGTATGATTTTGGGGCAAGTTCCTTTCTTGGCCTCAGTTTTCTAATCTATAAAGGGAAGTGGGGGTGAGTAGGAGATCTCCCTAGCAGCTTATAAGGGAGACCCTTGGGAGGGAGCCTGGGGTTTCAGGGGGTTCTGGTGTTTCCAGAGTAGCTATAAACACTGTATGCTCAGACTGCTGCTGCCCAGGCCCTTCTTTCTCTGAGTAATGAACAGAGTATTGGTAGAGAATGATACACAACCTGC